AAAATAATGTTTGTTTTACCTAATTCAGTACCAGCTATTACACACTGTAAGACTATATGCAAGTTAATGCAACCTTTTGTCATATTTAACACACATTTTCTTCAGGTATTGCATTCTTTGAGGTATAAAGAATGCTACAATTTATGTGTATTTTTTCCTGTGTTTATTATGTGCGTGTGTGTGTGTGTGTATATATATATATATAATATTGTTATCTTAATTTGTACAGACCCTGGGACATGGGAAGGTTTTTACATCTACAATGTCAGTTCTGCCAAATTCCATTTCCTAGATGGGGGAAAAAATGGGTTAATATCCGAAAAGCATACACTAATTTTTACAAAACAAAAAGTGTGAGTATTGAATACTACAATGTGTTTCTTTCTCTTTGTTAAATAGAAAATCTAATAAAACACTAGGTGTAACTTGTTAATTTAGTATAGTTTTAATATTATTGAGTAGTTTTATGACTTGTCTGTAAGTTTTGCTGTAGTGTTAAAAAAAAGTAGCATGAATACTCATTTCATTCTCCAAATGCTTGAGATATGCAATAGTTGAATAGATATGTATTGTGTGTACACATATCTTATATCACTTTTTTCAAACAAAGAACCTTCTTGATTATGTTGTGTACAATTGCTTTGGAACAGGTGGACAGCTTTTGTCACTGACCTTTGTGCTTGTGCAACTTCATCTACTACAAGACACTGCACTTTGCTTACCATATCATGGGTATGACTTGTTACAAGTCTCTTTCAGGATGGTCCTGGTGCCCTAAATTGATCCATATTTCTCTGTTTTTCCAGTGCCATCAAGTACAAGGGATATCCTCATCTTGGAAATTCTAAATCCTCAATTTGATGACAGCTTTATGAATATTTTGTGTCATAATGGGCTGTTACACTTCCAAAAAGTGATGCATTTTTGGTGGCATCACCATACCAACACAATGCCAAACAGTGTCAGAATGTAGTTCTTATACAAACTGTTCTTACATTACTTTACATGTTGGCTGTGGTTGGTAAGTGGATTGCTGACTCACATATTCAGATTTTTTTTTATAATATAATTTACATTCCGTATTTTTGAGCCTCTTGTATAAAACTTGTTAATTAAAGCAGCCATCGAAAGACTACAAGAAGATCTGTACTTTTTTGGTTGATATGTAAAATTTGAATAAAAATTAAATACATAATTTGTTTTTCAAAGATATATTAATTTTACTTGATTTACAAATATTATGTGAATATAGACATAAAAGTTGATTTAAGCAAAAAATTGTATCGAAGTTGTAAGAAAACTAGATCAGTTGTACTTAACCTAAACATTTTCATCAGAATTTATTCTTTATATTGTTAAAATATCAAATCAGTTTAAAACTGAGGGAAGGTGTGTTGTTTAATGCTTAATGAAAAATATTTGAAACTTGACTTTTTTCACTTATTAATTTACAACAGCTAAGCCTTAAGTTGGAGATATAAACAAAGTATAGGACAATTTTTCAAGAAACTTTGTTGAACTTAATTTCTCTTTAATGGATCTTTAATTCAGATCTTTCAAACCTGTGTATGTTTCAGTTTTTACCTTATTTTCATTCTGCATATTCATTTCTAAAGGTAACGTCATGTAGTAATGATGACAAATATCTGAAATATTTAAATATGTTTGTATTAATGTTTATATAATAAATCAAGGTATGTGTTTCAAGAGTATAGCTGGGAAAACTTACTTCCTGTTAACCTCATAAATAGTATTTGAATATAGAACAACGATCAATAATTTCACTTGGTCAATTACATTATTGGAGATCCTGTAAAGCTATTACAGCCGACTGGTGTTAATTGCATTGCTATTGATACTATACTCTTTGTGCCCTGTCTGTGGAGTAAATTAGCTTTAACTGATTGGTGTAATTACTTTTAATTTTGGATACATATAACACATTTATTGATTTCTTATGTTGTTTTTGGCATGACATTAAGATGGGAAAGCATGAGAGGGATTTGGGACCAGATTTTTCTTTTAGTGGGGGGAGGCAAAAAAGTCTCACTTAATTATCATGAATACAATGTATATACTATATACCACAGAAAAGAAAATGGGGCATCACCCCACCAATCCCACCTATGTGGACAAGGTGCTATAGATACATTATTTATTTAGACGTTATGTATTATATGTTGTGAAAATGATGCATCAAAAAGTTGAATTATTATGAGCCCAATAAGTAAAGTTTCAATTTCACTTCCATAATTATGTGCAAGTTTCAAATAATAATGTATATAATTGACTGAATATATTAGGTGTTAAACAGGTAGGACAAGTTTGTTTTTTGTAGACATTTTGCAATATCACCACAAATTTCAAAGTTATATAAGTAAAGAAAACATTTTATATAAATATCGCAAACTTCCAAAATAAACCACTTTTGGAAAAATGGCACTTCAGTTATATCTCAAACTTCTTTGAATTATATTAAACTCAATTCTTTTTGTACATTGGTCAGTAACAAACTATTATTAGTTAATTATGAGCAAGTATACCTTTTAATGGCTACAGTATAGAATATTCTGTCTGTTTTTGAGACTCATAAATTCATCTGCTGTCCCACAATTAAAGCAGTGTGTATCAGCTACTAAAACTATTTCTGAAATATTACCCTACGTGTATTATTTTGCAATTAATCATTAGTTTCTTAGATTTTAATGTTTCATAAAAAATTATTAATACATTTACAGATAACCTGATTTATTTAATTATGAGTTATTTTGAGAATATAATAATTAACTTGGATAAGTTTACTTAGATTGTGTTAGGGGTACATAGAGAGCCTGTTGTGTAGCTTTATGCTTAACAAAACATGAAAGTAGGTTTATATTTGTTTGCTCTGTTGCTATAGTGTTGTGCAGCTAATAAATAGTATACCTATTTTATAGTGTCAAGTAAATGTTAGAAAGTCAATTGTATTTGTTAACTGTTAAGACATTAACATCTTGGACCACAGCAAAATGGAAACAACGGTGTTAGGCAGGATTACTGTTAAGCAAAATAAGTAACTTCACTGTTTTTATGAAAATTATACTAGATAAGAAGCATCTTACATAGCTTTTGTCCTCAATGACTCTAGTTAAATTTTTTATATTCTTAATTTATTATAAGTATTCTTATTATTTTGGTAATACAGTGGTTTAGTTGGATTAATTTGCTTGGTATGTGTAATTATATACCATTTTCTTGATGCCGGCATGACTTGCATTTGTTTGCCCTGTTGCTATAGTGTGAAGCAACAGTTAACAGTCTTGACTCCCAGTTCTTTATATTAAAAGCAAATCCCCTCTTATTTACATGGGAACTTGATTTAAAAAATTATATGTAATAATATTAAATAATTAAAGTAAAAATAATTAATATATTAATAACTAAATATTGTATATAAAAAATATAGAGATTGTTACTGACCAGTTGCCTCCCTGTGGTCAGTAGTTCAAAATTATGAGTAGCACCATGCTATCTGTAATTCTTACTAACAAATGTGCTGCATTAGGACTCCATAATTAAAGAGAGGTGATTCTGTGATTTACTCAGAACTGCTCTGTTATTTAACTATAATAATTTAAGTCGTATGTTTATCTTTTCAAAAGCTAGCTTTATTATATATATGTTACATTTCTTTCCATCTACAATTGAATCTGTGCAATATTTAATTGTAGAAATATGTAGAAGAAATTGTCATCTTGCATATAATCTTTTTTGCCATATATCGTGGTAACATTTTACAGTTATTTATCACACATATTGACTGTGTGTATATTTGACAGTATTCCTTGGTACCAATGTTGGAGTTGCTTGGACTCAAGTTCGAAGGTCAGCAACATTGTGGATTTGACGATGCTCGGAACATTTCCCGAATCGCTATATGTATGTTGAAAGATGGAGCCCATCTTAAGGTGAATGAAAGAATTGATTGGAACAGGTAAAATCATTTAATATTACTTAATTTTTTAATTAACCATGGATTATTGAAAACTATTATTTCTGTTTTATCAGTAGGGATACTTATAACACCATTAATACAAATTGTGTTTTTTATCTCACAGACTTGTCCAAAATCATGGCCCTCACAAGGATTTTTGAAGTGTAGGACTTTTTTCTTTACAATGTAAATAAACTATTGATGAAAGGTTGTGGTTCGAATTAAAACTCAAAAGATGGGGCAGACTATAAAAGGTGCTTAAGCTTCTTTTTTTTTGCAACTGAAGACCTTGAACAGCATGTCAATATGCATATTTTATGTATAAAAATTGTTTTATCAAAACCAGTATTTTTGCTTACCATTAATTGTCATGAGTACAAATGCAGCCGAATAGATTATGTATACGGTAGCTAGGATCCTGCTTAAACATTGTAAGATCTCTGGAAAAAGCCTTGTCTAATCTTCCTAAAACCAAGTCATGCAGAAATATTTTACTACAGCATAAAAGCCTTTATCAAATTACTAATTAGAGTAGAGGTAGGTTGTTTCCATTAAATAAGTTATTTTGGTCTTAAAATATTTGTGCATTAATAAACATTTTTAATGCCAGTAGTCATAGAAGGTACACATAATACCCTGAGTATATTATGTCATTGGCATACTTGTGTATGAGTGATTTGGAAGATGTCAAAACAAAAATGAACAGATTGTCTCGGTAAAGCCTGGCAGTTCAAAAATAAAACAAATCTATATAGTTTTGGTGAGTTTTTATTTTTATTTCATATTTGTACTTATGTTTATTCAACTAATTATGTGAAATAATACTTTATCAGTAATTTTGTTTTAATTCTTATAAAACAAAATATACATAACTGACGATTACCTATAGCACATAACGTCATGATGCATAATACAGTCAGGGTTGAGATTGTTGACATGCAATATCTCTGAGAGACAGGTAGAATATCACCAGTGACAGTTCAGGAAAACCCATATAAAGCAGAATATGGATGTCAATGTATAACATCATTTGGAGATAACAAATTTTGGAAAAAATAAAACTAAAAAATATTGAAATATAGAAAGTCTGATACGATACTTTTATCTCTACTCACAAATTTAGCTATTCTCGTTGGGTGCTGCCCTCTATATGCAAACGTTTTCTTTATGCATGCCACAAGCCTTCTGCTTCCCCTATTGGAATTGTGTCTTTCATGCAAATCATCATGTGTCACTTCTCCACCAATAAGAGCATGACATGCATGTGACTCCCTCTATACTCATCTACCAAACTATCAATTCTTGTTTGGCAGCGCTTGTGTTTGGATGTGCTTCTTGTTTGTCTAATGATTCATGTTCAGCTCAAGTATCCTTATGAAGTGGTTTTCTTTAATTTATTGAGTTTTCATTCAGACAGTTTCTTCACTTTACAAAATTTTATCAGTTAATTCCAGTTGCACTATTTTATAAGTTCACTGCTCAAATTTGGTGGACACTTCATAATGAATTCCGAAATTTATGCTACCACTTTGGAGGTCACACCAGCAAATAGTGTTCTTTCTCAGGCTTCAGATGCAGGTGATCAAACGGTGGATTTATCCACCAGGAGATCGATTGTTACAAGGGCCAGCCTTTGTCCCGGACCTTGTCCCGGTTCCTCCTGAACAGGCAGAATATCTTCAGACTAACAAGGACTTGAATCGTTTATTTACACCTCCTAATTTTGCTGTACATTCCCATCCCCCTTCTGAGGAATTGGTTAGGCCTAACTTGGTCTTTTTGAATATTGACCAATCCTTTCACCTCTTTTTGGTTTTTCTTCCCTTCCCTGATATTCTGGTTCATGTTGATCAAATTGCCTCACAATTTAGTGATGGGATTAGCATGCCTTGCCCCCTGTGGACTTCAGAGCAGTTTGCACTTTCATACCATCATGCTGACTGTCCCTTTTTGGATCAAAATTTGTTAGGTTCCATTTTGCATGAATTTGTGATAGCAAATCACCTGTCAGTCTGACCCATGACCAGTTTTCTCACCTGCGTATTACCCTAACAACTCTTTTACAGTATCTTTCTTCTCTACACCTCCTCCCTGAGGACCTTCACATTAGCTCATTTGTTGTCTTTGGCTCTGATTTTGCATATGTGGTTTCTCTGTTGTCGGGACCTTCTAGGTCGTGATGCAATTTTGGATTGGGTCCGTTTACCATTGACTTATCTTTGGCATTTATGAATGGCTCCATTTCTGCAGTGATATGTTCTTGACACGATTCTGGCATCAGTCCAGCAACAATCTATCCTTACCAGTATTGTCACATGTTTGTCTCAGTCAGAGCCCCATATGTCATCTATTACCATTTCCTGTACTTCCCCTTCCCAACCCTTACCTGTTCCTTCTTCTCTGGGTGCCTCTTCTCTTCATTTTTTTCAACGACACACCTCATGTTGCCAACAGTACCATTGACTATCCAGTGGGTTCCAGTCTGGTGGGAGCTTGGCTTGCCAATTTTCTTCATCACTTACATTCCTTCATTGAGGATCAATGGGTTCTTCAAGTTTTATCAAAAGGAATCATGATCTCCTTCCTTTCCCCATTTCCTTCCCTCCTCCTCAAAATCCCATGACCAGTCAGTGTCTGTCGGAAGCAGTTTGGGAATTGTTATCTCAGCAGGCCATTGAACCTGTTCTCCATCCTTCAATAGGTTTTTATTCCCAACTTTGTTGTTCCCAATATAACCAGGCACTGGAGACCGGTCATAGATTTAACTCGCCTCAACCGCTTTGTTCACCTGCCCCACTTTACAATGGAGTCCTTTCTTACCCTGAAGTGAGCATTTTCTTCAGGTTTATGAATGACCAAAAGGAATGTCACCAATGCTTACCTCCATATACCTATATCATCTCGGGCTCGTCCTTATCTTTGGTTTGTCCATCTTGGGGTGGTTTATCAATTTCTAGTATTACTATTCAGGCTTGATAAAGCCCCTTATGTTTTCTTTCAGGTGGTCCAAGCATTTGCTCGACATCTTCATGTTCTGGGGTTGAGTTTTCACTATTACATAGACAACTGGCTTCTTCTGGCTCATTCTGAATTTGAGTCATCCAGCCAGTCAGCTCCTTTTAGTGTCTGCTTGAGTGGGCTGGTTAATCAAACTGAAGAAGTCCTTCCTCAGACCTCAATATCTTGGCCATTTGGGGGTCCTGTCAGTCTGGCCCAGCCTTCTCCTTCACTTACTGCTCGCAAGGTTCTATTGTTTTGGGGGATTTGGTCTTTAATGACATCAGTGGGTCCTTCATGATCAATGGAACCTTGTGCAGGATCCTCTTTCTACTCCCCTTACCCTGAGAGATGATCTGCTTTGGTGGTTGGACAAGGTGCATACTTCAATGGGCATGCCACTTCCTCCTTCATGTCTGGATCTACATATTTTCATGGATGCATCTCTGCAGGGCTGGGGTGCATGGTCAACCACTAGGAAGCTTTGGGTTGTTGATCTGTGGACGAAAGTGTTTTGCATAGCAACATTCTCGAACTTATAGCTGAATGTCAGGCATTGAATCATTACCCTCTTCTCATCTGACATTGTCTGGTGATGGTTCATTCAGACAATTCTATGGTGGTGACACATATCAATCATCACAGGGTCACCCAGTTGAGAGATCTGTGTTTTTTGATGTTGGATCTCTCTGGGCCCACACTCAACACATTCATCTCGTTGGGTGTCATGTACTGGGTACTTTCAAACTTATTATGGATCGTCTTTCCCACTCCAACCAGATATATCCAACAGAATGGCCCTTAGATCCTCTTATTTTTAGGGAGATTTGCACTCAGTGGGGTTCTCCCCATGTGGATGCCTTTGCTACGAGCCTCAATCACAAGTTACCTCCATTTTGGTCACTGGTCCTTCATCTTCAGGCTCAAGCATTTGATGCCTTCAGCCAAGACTGGTCCCACATATATCTTTATGTTTATCCTCCTATCAGATTGTTTCATCAGGTGATCTCTCTCATCCATACCACTCCTTGTTGGGTCCTCCTGATTGCTCCTTATTGGCCAGATCAGCCATGGTTTCTGTGGTTACAGCACTTGCTACTCTGGTTAATTTCACGATTGCAGGAGTTGATTTCATGTGATAGACATCTTTTCGATACCAGATGTCGAGACCCCAGATTGATAGCTCAGTGCTAATACTTGTGTCATACTTGGGATTCTAAATCCCACGGTCTCTTGGGTTTGAGGTGAAGATGGTACGATCCTCATCCTACCCCAGTGTGGATGTTGGTTCCCATTGGCATGAGTGTTGGATGTATTTGACTTACCTAGTATGGTCTATTGCCTAGCCACTCTGCACCCGAGGGCACATCCATTATTTTACCCACTTTTCTATTCATGGGATTGAGTTATATTTATTTTATATGGTTAGGTTTATGAACCTGACACAGTTCTCCCCCACTTAGATGTGCTCCTCTCCTTTTCCACCTTTGTCTTCTCTACATTTCACAGAGGGGTGAAGAGTATACCTGGTTTAGAAGTGGTGCAATTCTCCTCATCTGATCTGTCTCTGTCATTTCCAGGGGGTATCCTTTGGACGCTTTTGGGGGGGTACTTCTATAATTCCCTCGAACTGGTCCCTCCTCCTGTTCAGTGTGGTATTCTAGCTAATTTTGTGAGAAGAGGTAAGTACTGTATTGGAAGTTATAATTTTCCTATACTGAAAATTTGTTTCCGATAGATACTTACCTCCTATCACACTTTCCATCCTTCCTCCCCACTTTCCTCCAGTGCTTAAGTCTTCTGCCAACTTTGAAGCGATAATTCGTTAGATGAGTATAGAGGGAGTCACTTGCATCACATGAGCATGTAATGCTCTTATTGGTGGAGAAGTGACGTATGATGATTTGCATGAGTCACACGTTGTAATATTACAATTCCAACAGGGGGAGCAGGAGGCTTGTGGCATGTGTAAAGAAAAAGTTCACATATAGAGGGCAGCACCGAACGGGAATAGCCAATTTTGTGACTGGAGGTAAGTACCTATTGGAAATACATTTTCAGTATAGGAAAATTATAACGTTTTATTAACAGTAAGTAACTCATAATATGGCACAAATAATGGTTTCTTTCTGTAAATACAGCCCTGTTTGTTTCTCATGAATATTTGTAGAAACAGTTGAATTTTCACCAGTGAATAACTGAATATGTTATAATTACCCAGTAATCTATAATTCAGAAATGTTACTTACCTCTTTGTACCACTAAGAGCTATTACCTCATGCAACTGCCATTGAATTTCCTGCATGTGCCACAAGCCTTGAACAAACTACCTTTTCACATGTCCACGTGTTGTACCAGCTTATAACATAATCATCATAATGCTGTAGCCCTCCATCAATAGGTGGGTGACACAATCTTCATGTGCAGTAATCCATGTTAGCATTAACATATGATCATAGTCTTATTCTTTCCTTGGCACTGGTTGTTTTCACACGTGATTTTTCATGTGCCTTTTGAGTTTCCAGTCTCTGATCGACTGCTTTTCTTTATTTAACTTTATGTTACCTATGTCCTCATTGCAATTTCGTTCCACCCACCTAATTGCAATTTCATTTTTTCAATATCCACCAAATTGTTTTTTTTCTAATAATAAATATACATAAACACACATATACTCATGGATTGCCGATTTAACATGAATTCTCAAGTCCATGTTGCCAAAATGTTGTTCTTCAACAATCTTCTATGCCTTATTAGTGGTGACTGGAGGCACAATTTCTTTCATAATATTACTGCTACAGTGCACCAGGTGGTTGGTTCTCTTCTGTCTACCTCTTCTCCTGTTCAAGACCCCTATGTTTCTGTTTCATTGCCTTTAGCTCAACTCGTATGTGATTGATTTTGTCCAACTCCTCCACCTCCAATCTTTGCTTATGGCTGTTCTTTCTTTGATGAGGAGCAGGTACATCTTCCTTCTGTGTTTGATACAATTATAAATCAGGTATGTGAGTCTTTGCTTATGGCTGTTCTTTCTTTGATGAGGAGCAGGTACCTCTTCCTTCTGTGTTTGATACAATTATAAATCAGGTATGTGACATTTTACATCATTCACCAGTGAATCTTGATGTCTCCCAGTTTTATTTACTTCATGGACTTCCATTTTCTGACTTTCTCTTTTCCCTCTCCTCAGACAACCATGTCTTACTTGATGCCTTTCTCTCCCAACTTCTTCATGAGCAACATTTTCCTCATCCACTTTGTCTTTGTGACTCATTTTTTATGCCCTATGGTCACGACTCTTGTATATTTCTTGAACCAACGGTTCTTGAGTCCTTTCTATCTGTCAGCTTCTCCTTCTTTCTTTCCAACAATCTATTTGTCTTGATCTTACCTTTACCTAACTCCTTCGCTATATCTTTACCCTTCACCTTCTCTCCATGGGTCTTCATTATTACCCCAATAATTTTGTAGGTGACACTCATTCTTATGTGTTTGCCATTTTGGCTATAGTTTCTTTCCTCTGCTGTCTTTGTTTTGACTTGGCTTCTCTGTTTTTGAGATGTGCTCATTTGAAGTGTTTTCCTTTCTAGTACCTTCCTCCTCGTTTACAGTGTCTGCCTCCATTCCTCACATCTTTATGACATTCATCTTGTCCCATTTCTTACAGACCAACTCTCCTGTTCCCCATCCAATCATTTCTGTTCACTGTTCCACCTCCTATAGGGCAGGCTGTTGTGTCTCTTCGTAGTGACTCATTTTTGGTGCTGATTCTTTGCTCTGGGCCCATCAGCACCCACCTCTCCTGCTTTACACACCTGTGGTCTCCCTCCATTATCAATCTCAGGTTGTGCAAGTTCTTTCTCAAGGTATGTATTTGAAATTTTGTACTCCATCTTTTCTCTCTCTTCCTCCTCTCTCCAATCTTATGCATCTTTGACATCTTCAGGATGTTGTAACCTCTTTGTTGATGGCAGAAGCTGTAGAGTCTGTTTCCCTCAGGACTTTTATTTTTTTGTTGTTCCCTGGAGGATGGGAGGTTGGCCATTGATTTTTCGTCTTTGAATCTCTTTCTTTATGTTCTTTGATTCTGGATACCTGCCTTTCTGTCTGCATTGGGTTTTATCTCCAGGGTTGTAGATGAACAAGGTTGAAATTTCAGATACCTTCCTTGACATTTCCATTTGTTCTTTGTCCCATTGTTTTTTCTGATTCATCCACAATGGACAAGTTTTTCAGTTTCTTGCCTTTTCCTTCAGCCTAGCCACAGCCCTTTATGTCTTCAATCAGAACATGCAGTACTTTTCTTGGTGCATGCATCTATTGGGTATTTATTTCCACTATTATATGGATGATGAGCTTCTACTGGACCCCTCTCAACAACATTCAGCAATTACTACCTGCATTATTCTTCAGGAACGTTGCATGTCTGTTTTGACTCCCACTCGGTACCTTGCCCACCTGAGAGTTTTCCTCAATTCCAATGTGGAGTGGGCTCAACTCTCTCCCTTGTGTCTTTGCACCATGGAGATCTTCATTCTTCTTGCTTAAGAGGTTTTTTTCACTTTTGAAAATTCTTGCTTCTCTGAAACTCCTTATCCCTCTCAGTTGTGCACATCCCATTCAGTGGATATGATCTCTTATGTGTATTTTTTTTCATCCCTCTGTTTTGTGGTGGCTCGTTTAATTCAACATATTGCAGGTATTCCACTTCTACCTTCTTCACATCGACTTACAATTTCTATAACAATGTCTCTTTCTGGTTGGGGGGGGGGGGGGGGGGGTCTTGACACCACCATATTGTCCAGGGTCTGCTCTCCAGCCATCATGTCAAGATTCTTTTGCCCTCTGTGGTTACAAGAGTTGATAGATCTACATTTGCTCCTGTCTCTGTTCTCACTGTTGCATCCAGTGACTGCTCAGGTCCCTCTCCTTTGGCTCCAAGGTGCAGAACCATTATTCAGTCACTCACTCTGTTTCTAGAGTCTTCTTCTGACAGAGATATGCTCAAATGGCCCAAGGCAGGATACATGGAGGTCGAAAGACCTCTTTCTTTGGTACAATGGAATTGTCGAGGTTTTCATTTTTATTTGGATGATATTAAGGCTTTGATCGATTCCTACTATCCTGTTTGTTTCTTCTTACTGGAAACATTCCTATGACCTGCTGATGCTGTCACATTTTTGCAGTTTGAATGACAGGTTGTGTGATGGATGAGTTCATGGAGGTGTGGCACTGCTGATTGACCAGCATATTCCCACCATGTTTGTCTCAGTCAATACACCTTTGGAGGCTGTGGTTGTC